TTGTTGAAGTTCTAATCGGTCAAATAAATGAAATGGATTATATCATACCCAACATGTTTTCTTAAAACTAAGTAACTACATTTTTTTTTTATTATTTATTTTTTTATCGAAGTGGCTCCGGGTGATATGGATCACAAATCCACCAGTTCAAAAATTAGTGCCCCTAGTTCGTTTCACGGACGGCTCCTCACCGACCAACTTCGCACCTTTTGGAAGATAAACTATAAGTTATTCGACTTTTTAAGACACCACTCAACACAACCTTAGCTTGTTTCATACTCTAAGCGTACATGAACTTATTTATGGAGATAAATGAAAATGACGACAACATGCTGTGAAGCAAAACCTCCTTTTTATTATGAACTCAAACAGAATTTATAGCATAAGTAATCTTCTTTAGAAAAAAGAAATTGCTTATAGCCTCTTATGATAGAGGCGTAAATACAAGCATACATAAAATTTCTCGATAGAGGCGTAAATACAAGCATACATAAAATTTCTCGAAAAGAAAATTATAACTTTTAACATACATCTTATTACAAATTATTGCAGAGATTTTATTATAGTGAGAAGGTTGAAGAGAATGATCGATGTCTTCTCCTTCCTCAAGCATCCTTTTATAGAGGGTTGAGACTCTATTATATTATTACTTCCACCGATGGTAGATGGATGCTCAGTTGGAATCACCTATTCTTGAGTTTGGGTTTTTAAATTATCGTTCTACACCTTTATTAAAATTAGACCCTTTTGTTAAGTCAAAAATGGCTGCCCATTTCTTCACCAGAAAAAGAAGAGTAAAAAAGGGGTAACAGCACCATCTCTTTGACAANAACACCATCTTTTTGACAAGCAACAAAAAGAGAAAAAAAAGGGAGTAGCACACAATTGAAGAAAAAACGTGCAGCCTTCGTGGATAAATTCATCCATTCGTTAGCTATAAATAGAGAGGAAATGAGAGCATTCAAAACACCACAACAAGAACAACCAAATTTTGACAATTGCAGCAACCCCAATTGTAGCAGCCCTCGTGGTGTTTTCTTTGTTGAAAAATGGAGTACACCTTTGTGGAAAAAATGGTACAACTCCTCTCTATAAATAGAGGGATTCTCATGAACATAAATCACACCAAAAATACAACAATATTCAAGAAGAAAAAAAGAGAGAGTGAGCTAAAAATAATTTAGCCTTTGTGTGTATTTTTGAGTTGTGAGTTGTGAGTGAGTTTGAGAGTGTTTTGTAAACAAAGTGTATTTTTTTTTTCTCCTAATAAAATATCTGCAGTAATCCGGAGACGTAGGTATTATTGGCCAAACTCCGTCATCAATTTGGTATGTCCAATTTTTATTTTTTATTTCACTTTTATAGATCCGACTTCATGAAAAATTCAGCGTATTTTTCCCAACAACTGGTATCAGAGCCAGATTGTTAATTCGGTATTTTTTGTGTGTTGTTACTGTTCCGTTGAAAAGCGTGAATAGTACCAATTTTGTCGGCGCTACAATTTATCTACCGACGTGTTTTGAAACACGATAGTTCACAAAAATTGCAGAAACGATCCGGCAGAGAAGTCAAATCAGAGTCAGATTGTTAATTCTGTAATTTTTGTGTGGTGTTACTATTCTGTGAATAGTGAAAAACGAGAATAGTGCCAATTTTGTTGGCGCTACAAATTTATCTACCGACGTGTTCTGAAACACAATAGTTCACAAAAATTGCAGAAACGATCCGGCAGAGAAGTCAGATCAGAGTCGAAGTGATAGCTGCAGACGAAGGAAAAATGAAAATTGAAAAGTTCGATGGTGCGGACTTTGGCTTTAGGAAGATGCAGATCGAGGATTATCTGTACCAAAAGAATATGTATCAACCACTCACGGGAAAGAAGCCAGATGACATGAAGGAAGAAGAATGGAGTCTCCTTGACAGTAAGCCTTTGGAACCATTCGACTGACGTTATCCCGTAGTGTTGCTTTTAACATTGCAAAAGAAAAGACGACAGCAGGCCTTATGAAGGCTCTTTCCAACATGTACGAGAAACCATCAGCCTCAAATAAATTTCATTTGATAAGGCGATTGTTCAACCTACGGATGACCGAAGGTGCTCCGGTGGCACGTCATCTCGATGAGCTCAACATTGTTACAACCCAGTTGAGTTCAGTTGAGATCGAATTCGATGATGAAATACGGGCTTTAATACTTTTGTCTTCCCTACCAGAAAGTTGGAATGCTACGGTCACGGCTGTGAGTAGCTCAACGTGAAGCAATAAGTTGAGATTTGATGATGTTCAAAATTTAGTTCTCAGTGAAGAGATCCGACGGAGGGAGTCGGGTGAACCATCGACCTCTTCTGTATTGCATACAGAGTCAAGAGGAAGAAGTTCAACTAAAGAAAACAGACACAACAAATCAAAAGGAAGAAGATCCAAGTCCAGAAATCATTGCAGTTCCCAAACCTCGAAGTCGATCGATGGAATTGTGGGAAGATTGGGCACTACAGAAATCAGTGCAAAAGTGCACCGAAGAGTCATGAGGCAAATATTGCTTCAGCCTCAGGAGGAGATATGCTGATATGTTCTTTAGAGAACAGAGAAGAGTCTTGGGTGTTAGACTCTGGAGCATCCTTTCATGCTACCTCACAGAAGGAACTATTCGAAAATTATGTTCCTGGAAATCTTGGTAAAGTTTACCTTGGTAATGAGCAACCATGTGAGGTTGTAGGGAAAGGTGCAATAAAAATCAAGCTGAGCGGGTCTGTATGGGAATTAAAAAATGTTAGACATATTCCCGACCTGACAAAAAATTTAATCTCTGCGGGCCAGTTAGCCAGTGAAGGCTACACGAAAATCTTCCATGGTTATGATTGGAAGATTTCAAAGGGTGCTATGACAATTGCTCGAGGCAAAACGAGTGGTACTCTTTACAAGACAACAAGAGCATGTCATCTGATTGCAGTTGCAGCAAATGAAAATCTCAATCTATGGCACCAAAGACTTGGGCATATGAGTGAAAAAGGATGAAGATCATTCACTCAAAAGGTAAATTACGAGGCCTTCAGTCAATAGAAATTGACATGTGTGAAAGTTGTATACTTGGAAAGCAGAAGAGAGTCAGCTTTCAGACAAGTACAAGAACTCCAAAGAAGGAGAAGCTTGAGCTCATCCACTCTGATGTTTGGGGTCCAACGACTGTCCCATCCGTTGGTGGGAAGCAATACTTCGTGACTTTTATCGATGATCACTCCAGAAAAGTATGGGTTTACTTTCTAAAACACAAGTCAGAAGTATTTGAAGCTTTCAAGATTTGGAAAGCTATGGTAGAAAATGAGACAGACTTGAAGATCAAGAAGCTCAGATCCGACAATGGTGGTGAATATGTAACCACCAGATTCAAGAAGTTTTGCTATGAGCACGGGATCAGAATGGTGAGAACCGTGCCTGGTACGCCTCAACACAATGGTGTAGCTGAGCGTATGAATCGAACGTTGACTGAAAGAGCCAGAAGCTTGCGTGTGCAGTCAGGCCTACCAAAGCAGTTTTGGGCAGAAGCAGTCAATACAGCAACATACTTAATCAACCGAAGTCCATCGGTACCACTGGATCACAAGTTACTAGAAGAGGTATGGAGCGGAAAAGAAGTAAAACTCTCACATCTTAGAGTTTTCGGGTGTGTAGCATATGTGCACATCAGTGATCAAGGTAGAAACAAACTTGATCCAAAATCAAAGAAATGTACTTTCATTGGTTATGGTGAAGATGATTTTGGCTACCGCATATGGGTTGATGAAAACAAAAAGATGATCCGCAGCAGAGATGTCACCTTTAATGAAAGAGTGATGTATAAGGACCAGCATAACACGAGTTCCAACAACTCAGAAGCGAGTGGGCCAATTTATGCAGATGTGGAAGATATCCCAGACATTCCTATAATAATGAATCCACGGTCAGAGGAATCAAATGAAGAAAGTGAAGTGCAATCAGAACCTTCTACTCCAACTCCTGTATTGAGAAGGTCCTCTCGGCCCCATGTGCCTAACAGAAGATACATGGACTACATGTTGTTGACTGATGGAGGAGAACCTGAAGATTATATGGAGGCTTGTCAAACCACGGATGCTAGCAAGTGGGAGCTTGCCATGAAGGACGAGATGAAGTCTTTGATCTCAAATCAAACATGGGAACTAGTCAAGTTACCTATGGGAAAGAAAGCACTTCACAACAAATGGGTGTATCGAGTGAAGGAAGACCATGATGGTTTCAGGAGATACAAAGCCCGACTGGTTGTCAAAGGATTTCAGCAGAAAGAAGGAGTTGACTACTGAAATATTTGCTCCAGTTGTAAAGCTCAATACTATCAGGACTGTGTTAAGTATTGTGGCTAGTGAAGAGCTTGAAGAGCTCTACCTAGAGCAGTTATATGTGAAGACCGCATTTCTTCACGGAGACCTAGATGAGGAGATCTATATGCACTAGTATGAAGGTTTTTCAGAAGGAAAGAATAATATGGTGGT